CCACTGCCAGAGGGCCAGCGTGGCCTCCAGTGGTGAGGAAGCCAGGTGCACCAGTGTCACAGTCAACCTGAAATGAGTGACAGGGAGGCCCCTCCAAAGCCAGGAGTGGGTTTCCTGAGGAACAGCAGGGGGTTGCCACCAGGGACCTGCAGCTCTCTGTGGCACCTGGAGAAGTCTGTTCAAGGCTGAGCTGTCTGGAGCTGAGCATGGAGCCAGTGTGAGCCAGTGTGAGCAAGGAGCAGGCGTGAGGCCTGGGTTCCATCCCAGCACCACAAGATAGATAAGGAAAAGGAAGATAAAGTCTTAGAGAAGATAAAGCTAATCACCGGGCTTGGCTGCGGGAATGGGGGAGCTCACTCGCCAGAGGCAGCAGGTGTCAGGCCCCTGTCCCTGGGCAAGAGGCTGATCTGGAATCCTGCCAGGGCCTCACCTGGACTCCTGCAACTGGGAGGGATTCCCTGCATGGTTCCCATCCCAGGCAGCAGTCAGCTCCAGCCCCTGGTCTCCTGGCGCCGTCTTGTTGGAGGTTGACACAGTGACTAATTTGATACTTTCACACATATTAAGAAGAATGCGGCCTGGCGCAGTGGCTCATGCCTGTAATCCCAGCCACCTTGGGGGCGGAGGCAGGAGAATCACAAGTTTGAGCCTGGATAATTTATAGAGATCCTGTCTTAAAAAATAAAAAAAAAAAAAAGGGGACTAGAATCACAGCTCAGGACACAGTGCCCCTGGGTTCCTTCCCTAGCACTAAAGGAAAACAAGAGAAGAATCATCAGATCCCACAGGAGACACGGGTAATTTGGCTTCCTTCTCCCTGTGCTTACTGAAGTATGTCACCCGTGTGTGGCGGAGTAGGCATAAATGTGTAACTCAATGAAGTTTGCAGACTGTCACCAGTGCCCTAACAGTACCCCATTCATTGGACTTTCACCTCAGATTCCCAGAGGAACAGTGTTCTTCTTTTAAATGTCTGTCATTTTAAATGATTTTGAGTAAATGAAATCATACAATGGAAACTGCTTTCATCTTTTTTTCTTTTACTCTGTGTGTGTGTGTGTGTATCTGAGCGTGTGCCTGAGCTGTGCACCTCTAGGGACTGAACCCAGTGGCACTCTATAATTAAGTGACATCCCCCGGCCTTTTTACTTTTTATTTTTTGAGACAGCTTCTCTGTAAATCTCTCAAGCTGGACTTCAACTTGCCATCCTCCTGCCTCAGTCGCCCAAAGGGCTGGGATTACAGACACGTACACCCCAGTCCGGCATGGATACAGTTTTCTGAGGTACCAGGGATTAAACCCAGGGGCATTTAACCACTGAGTCACATCCCCAGCCCTTTTTAGTTTTTATTTTGAGACAAGACCTTGCTAAGTTACTTAGGGCCTCTCTAAATTGCTCAGGCTGGCTTTGAACTTGGGATCCTCCTGCCTCAGTCTCTTGAGTTGCTGGGATCAGGTTTATTTTTTTAGAAGATCACTCCGGTTGTAGCATGAAGAATGAGCAACTTGAATCCAAGCAAAATATTAAACATCTAAGAAGTGAAATAAAATTCAAGCTCTCCCCCCAACCCCTTTAACTTTGGATTGTATCTGGGGACTTTCTATCTCAGAGTTTCAACCCTAGCCCTTTTTATTTTATTTATTTTGAGGCAGGTTCTTTTTAAATTGCTGAGGCTTTGAAAAATTAAAATGCTCCCATTGCCACCTCCTGAATTGCTGGGATTACAGGTGTGCTCCACCACACCTGATATTGATACGGCTGTTGACTGGTGACAAGTTCTTGCTTCCCTAATGTTGAAGAATAACACCAGAAAAGCACACGCTGAGGCAAGGTCAGAGTAGAAATTAGAAGTTTATTAAAGGACAGCAGAAAAGACTTCTCCCGGAGGAGGAAGAAGGGGACCCAAGAGGTGGGCAGATGTATTTCCCTTTTTATAGGTTTGGTGGTGGAATGCAAGGGGGAAGGGTTAGGACACAGGTGGACCTAATTATCACCTTTTGGGATGGGATTATCACTTCTCTGGGGTGGGCTATCTCCAAATTTGTTGGGGCTGTTGGTTAACACTTCTTTGAGGTGGACTTTGGCATAGGGCCTTTTCGGGACTTCATTAACATTCCATGAGTTGTCCTGTGTTTTCCCTGAGTCATTCCCAGCATGGCCTCCATTTTAGATTTCACTCGATATTAGACCTGATTTACCTAACTACACTGACTACCTAACTTTAAATCTGGCTTCAATATCAGGCCAATTTTATTTAATTATTTGGTACTGGGAATGGAATCATTGAGCTACATGCCCTTCCCCCTATTTAATGTATTTGACATATTATACATACCTGGAGCATAACTTCTCATTCTTGTGGTTATACCTGATGTGGAGTTACACTGGTCCTGTATTCATATATGGACAGGAAATTTCCCCACCAGTTTCTATCTTTTATTTCGAGTCAGGGTCTCAGGAAGTTGTTTAGGGCCTCGCTAAATTGCTGAGGCTGATGTGGACATCCTTCTGTCTCAGCCTTCCGAGTCGCTGGAATTACAGGCGTGAGCCGTGGCTCCTGGCATCAAGCCAATAAAACACACACACACACACACACACACACACACACACAAACACACACACACATTTGTAAATATATTTAGTTGTTGATGGACCTTTATTTCATTCATTTATTTATGTGCGGTGCTGAGAGTTGAACTCGGTGCCTCACATGTGCTTGGCAAGTGCTGTACCACGGAGCCCCAGCCCTCAAGCCAATTTTAAAGGAATGCAGACAAAGAGATTTTTGCAGACTGGTCCTGGAATGTTCCTTATCGTATCTTCAAGATCTTTCCATTCCGCACCGGCCCATGCAGGCGCAGTGATTTCCCTGTTAACCACGGTTTTCGTTTCCATTGCAATGAATTGAAACCGGCTCGAGAGGGCAGCGCGGGTGCCCAGGAGCAGGGGCTCTTAAAACTATTCCAGGTGTCCCCATCCCCACCTTGGGGAAGGGACCTTCGGTGGGACGAGTAACAGCTCTTGGAGCACGTGCTCAGCACCGCACGCCCTCCAGCGGGGAACGCGGCCCAGCCACCAGCACTTGGGGCTGGGGAAGGGGCTTCCAGTTTAAGGCTCCCTGGGAGCCCCAGGAGGTCCGGACCCCAGGGGCTCAGTGAGCAGCCTCTCCCGGGTCAGGCCAGGCCCCAGCCTAGGGCGCGCTGCAGCTGCAGGTGGGGTCTTTCCGCCCCCGGGTCGGACGCACCGTGGGCAGCTTCTCAGACTGGAGCTGGGCACTCCCCGTGGCACCGGGCGTTCCCAGTGGGGGCTTGCGCGGGCCGCGCCTCTTCCCTGAGGTCCCTCATCTGTGCCCAGAGAATCCCCTGCCCGTTCCCTGCGGCGGATCCACTGGCTGATGAAAGGAGGAGGTAGAAAAGGATGGTGCGTCTCAGCTCTGGGGGCCGTTGTGGGGTCTGGCTTCCAACTACCCCGGGCCTCTTCCTGGGCCCACATCTACCCTCCATCAGGCCTGAGTCAGGCCCAGGCTTTCCTGCTGGGAGCCATGTAACAGTCCTGGTGAAATGGGAATTACGAGCTTGGACTACCCAGAGCATGCTCCGTTCCTTAGTCTCAAATTCTCGTCATAACTTTCCTAAGAAATAGGTGTTGATTTTGAAAGCCACCTCGTTTTACGTCCGAGGGAGGGAACGGAGGCCCCCAGACGGTCATTTGCCAAACCCAGGTCCACTTGACTGCGAATGAAACACGTGCTCTTCAACCCGGGCGGGCCCCTGCATGGTACTTTGTTTCTAGCATAAACTAGGAATTTAAGGCGTTTCTCTCCCCAGAGTGTTGGGGATTAATCAGCGGGTCTGGGTGATTCAGATGGAGACCTGAAGGATCTTGAAGGTGGCTGGGGGGGAGTAACATTGTAATGACCCTTTAACTTGGGCGCAGCACAGGTGTGCAATCCAGGTACAGTGAAATCTACACAGTTGCTTAATTCCCTGAGGGAGGGAGGGGCTAGCTCCTTCATTGTTGCAAAAGTAGGCGAGTGACTTGCACTGAGGTTTCAAAGAAGCAGGGTAAAGGTTCAGGCAGAGGGGCGTTTCAGTGGGAGAGAGAGATTCTGGGGTTCCTTTGTGACCCATCTCTTCCTGATCCTGCCTCCTCTTCCACTTTCCCCAGGCTCCTCCAGGGTCCTGCAGGTTTCCAAAATGTGGGAAAGGCACCTTCTCTCTTCTTGAGGGGGATGATGTGTATTGGGGATTGAACCAGGGACACTTTACCATTGAGCTACGTCCCCAGCCCTTTTTATTTTTTATTTTGAGATGGGGTCTCACTAAGTTGCTTAGGGCCTCACTAAATTGCTGAGGCTGGCCTCAAACTTGCAATCCTCCCACCTCAGCCTTCAGAGTTGCTGGGATTGCAGGTGTGCTGCCTGGAAAGCACCTTCTCTCTGTCCACTCCTTTGCCCACCTCTAGTCTCTTGCTCCTCAAGTACCACCCAGCAGCTGATTCCTTCCTTCCTTCCTTCCTTCCTTCCTTCCTTCCTTCCTTCCTTCCTTCCTTCCTTCCTTCCTTCCTTCCTTCCTTCCTTCCTTCCTTCCTTCCTTCTTTTTTCTTTTTAGTTGTAGTGGGACACAATACCTTTGTTTTATTTATTCGTTTTTATGTGGTGCTGAGGATCAAACCCAGGGCCTTGCACACGTTAGGCAAGCGCTCTGCTGCTGAGCCCCAGCCCCAGCCCCTCCACCCCCATCAGCAGCTGATTTCATAGGAGAGGAAACTGTGGGGAGGGTAGCAGCTCAGGCCTAGCCCAGAGGTTGCACTTGAAGGAAATGCCGGGCGACTCACCCTGGTACTGTGTGCAAAGCATGATTGTTGAGCCTTTTGGGGAAGCAGGCGAGGCAGGAATGCTGGGCAGGTGGGAGATAAGGTAATGGGTGGGTGGGACCCCAGCTCCTCCCCCTTCTGCTCTCCTCCCATCACATGATTTCCCACCCCTCAGCTTGGGTATGAAAAGCTGCCAGTCCCTAGGGTCCCACAGCAGCCTCCCTCCTCCTCAGGAAGATGAACCGGCTCTGTCTCTCTGCGGCTCTCCTGGTCCTCCTGGCCATCTTGGTGGTGGGCACCAGTTCCCAAGGTAAGTCCTGGCTCACCTCTCCTAGGAGGTCCGTAGGAGAGCCTGAAGGAGCAGGGGTGTGTGTGTGTGTGTGGGGGGGTAGAGTCAGATCTCTCTGGATTGTTCTCAGGGAATTAGGACGTTTTAAACCCATTTTGTCCCAGATGTGGAATACCTATAAAAACAAATTGAGCAACAGATATACCACTTATGGTAACTCTGAAATAATTACTAGACCTTAGAGAACATGTAGTCTGGGGGTTTCCATGTTGCTTCCTAGCCCTACGGTGTACCCAGAAGGGAAGGGGAGGGACAAATGGGCGAGGGGACTAGTGAGAATGCTGAGGAAGGGGCTCTGGAGCCCACATCCAGGGACCTACCAGAACAACTTTCTTGTGGTCAAAGCTCATTTAAAAGTGAAGTTTGCTGCTAAAAGGGTTGACTGCCACACTCAGCGTGGGCTCTACTCCTCACCAACACAGGATGTCACCAGATACAGTGGTTTTCTTAGTCCAAAGAACGCTGCCACCATTTTCCACTGTCAAATAGTCTTCCAGAATATTATTTATGTATTAATTTACAAAGCTGTAATATATTTTGTAATATTTACTTTTTGAATTATAAAAAGAATATATACTCATTATAATAGTGGAAGAGAGTAAGATATAAAGATTTTTTTTTTTTTTTTAAACTGGGGATTGATTCCAAGAGTGCTGTACTACTGAGCCACATCCCCAGCCCTTTTGATTTTAGTTTTTGGTACCAGGAACTGAACCCAGGGGTGCTTAACCACTGAGTTACATCCCTAGCCCTTTTTAATATTTTATTTAGAGACAGGGTCTCGCTAAGTTGCTTAGGACCCTCACTGAGTTGCTGAGGCTGACTTTAAATTTGTGATCCTCCTGCCTCAGCCTCCTGGGCTTCTGGGATTACGGGCATGCACTGCTGCACCAGGCTCTTATAAAACTTTTAATTTTATTTGTGTACTGGGGATTGAACTCAGGGGCACTCAACCACTGAGCCACATCCCCAGCTCTATTTCTATTCTATTTAGAAACAGGGTCTCACTGAGTTGCTTAGAGCCTCACTTTTGCTGAGGCTGGCTTTGAACTCGCAGTCCTCCTGCCTCAGCTTCTGGAGCTGATGGGATTATAGGTGTGCATCACTGCGCCTGGCTAAAACTTTTTAAATTACGCAAACATGAGCAAAAGTAAAGAGAATAGTATGATAAACCTTTATGAACCCATTATTCAGCTCAAATAATTGACATACAAAGAATACTGTTTATATATATTCTCCTTTTTCCTATATTTTCTGGAGTTTTTAAAAATAAAATCTCAGGGTTTTTTGCAGGGGCGGGTATCAGGGATTGAACCCAGGGATGCTTAACCACTGAGCCACATCCCCAGCCCTTTTTAAAAATATGTATTTTTTAAATTTAGAGACAGGGTCTCACTGAGTTGTTTAGGGTCTTGCTAAGTTGCCGAGGCTGGCTTTGACCTCGCAATCCTCCTGCCTCGGCCTCCCAGGCTACTGGATTTACAGGCGTGCGCCACTGCGCCCAGCTCAGGCATCATTCGAATTGATCAGCAAATGCTCCCCTGAGGACGTAGGGTTTATTTTACATTATCACCATCTCAGTGCCATACCCAACAGGATCAATGGTAACGTCCCAGGAAGCAGGTTATCGCATTTCTACCCTTCCCCCATCCCTGTGGCTGGACTTGCCAGGTTTCCGTCCCTTGCTGTGTGCCTGTTGCTGTGTGACCCTCCTTCCTAGCTGACCGAGGGCCTTCTCTGTTCCTGCAGATGCGCCGCCGGCCTTCTGCCTGGAGCCCCCCTACACGGGCCCCTGCAGGGCCTCGATAAGGATGTTCTTCTACAATGCCAACTCGGGACGCTGCGAGACCTTTGTGTTCGGTGGCTGCAGGAGGAGGAAGAACGCCTTCATGGAGGAGGAGGAGTGCATGCGGGTCTGTGGGGGACATGGCCACAGCGCTGGTGAGGCTCGATGGCCCGAAGGGGGGGTCTGGGGAAGGAGGTGGATGGGGGACCCACACGCCCCAACCTGCTCAGCGACTCTCAGCCTCCGGGGCTCCCCTGCCCTTGGAGGAGGAAGTGTCGACCTGCCCGTGAACCACAGACTGGCACGTCCTCCCCGGTCAGCTGGGCAGAGGGTCACTGCCAGAAGTGACAGAATCCCTACCACCTCACCTGCTCCCCGCCCCGGCTTGGAGGATGGCGAGCACCTGCATGGCTCATTCCTGGGGTGGCCTCGACCTGTCAGGTGCAAGGATTGTTCAGGACCCTTCTCGCAGAGCCCCTTTCCTCTGCCCGGCGGCTCACTGTTTCAATGCTGCCGTATCCAGTAGGTTCTAAGCATCGACAAGAACCCTGTGCCTCTGTGTTCTTGATCCCTCTGTTCCCAGCACGGTCCCAGGCACAGAGGAGACAGTCCCTAAGTATTTGTGCAGTGGATGAGTGAGTGAGCGTGTCTTCTGACAGGACACTACAGGGCCAGGGGTCTGCCTGCAGGCCCCAGCCCTAACCTCATGGTCACCTCTTCCCCAGACGGCATCCAGCTCTGAGCGTCAGCCATGGCGAGCGGTGGTGGCCCGGGCATCTTCCAGAAAGAGATCTTCCAACCCCTGTGATGCGCGACATATTTGCTGTCTTTGTGACTTTAGATGCTCTGGCCTTATATTAAACCAACTGCAATGGATTCTGTTGTTTGGTGCTTTAATCAACGGCAAATCTGCAAAAATGGTGGTGTTGCCCGTTGTTCTGCTGAGCCCTGCCAGTTGTGGGAGGCAAACCCCATACAGTGTCATCTGCTTCTTAATAGAATCCTGTGCTACACAAAAACTGGGGTGATGCTTCAACATTAAAGCTTTATTTTATTGAACCCAGGTTGCTGAATCACTGAGCCACCTCCCCAGCCCTTTTTATTTTTTTTTTTTTATTTTGAAACAAGGTCTCATTAAGTTGCTTAGGGCCTTGCTAAATTGCTGAGGCTGGCCTCAAACTCGTGATCCTCCTGCCTTAGCCTCCCAAGAATCTGGGATTACAGGCATGCACCCAGCATGGTCTCTGTTTTTGTACCACTTATTTTTTGGTACTGGAGATTAAACCCAGGAGCACTCTTATTATGGAGCTATATGTCCAGCAACTTTTTATTTTTTATTTTGAGGCAAGGTCACTCTAAGTTGCTGAGGTTGTCCTGGAACTTGTGATCCTACCACCTCAGTCTCCCGAGTGTCTGGGATTACAGGAGTGCCACCTTGCCTGGCTTATTTTATTCATTTATTTAGTTTTTAGACCGGGTCTTGCTATGTTGCCCACCTGGTCTCAAGTGACCCTCCTGCCTCAGCCTCCTAAGTAGCTAGGACGACAGGCATGCACACTGTGCCTGGTTTCTCCTGGAATCCCTCAAGGAGAAAGGAAGGAGCCTGAGGCTCAGCTGAGGTTGTTTCTGTGTGTGGACAGAGTAGGGGTCGGTCGGGGTAGTGACCCGCTGTTTAAGTCCCACCCATCCCAGTTGCCCATGGAGCTGGGTCCGTGCTTGGCACTTACAGCCATCATGTCATTGCCCCTCTTTGAGGAAGGGTGTGTTATTGTCCCAAGTCTACAGAGGTGGGTGTAGAGGCCCCAAGCTCTCACGGTCCGGTCCGTTTCCCAGCGCTGCCACCAAAAAATGCTGTCAACGGAGTGGTTTAAATAACAGCCGTTTCTCTCATGGTTCTGGAGGCCAGAAGGACAAGGTCAAGGTGTTGACAGGGCCATGTTCCTTCCGGGGGTGTGGGGCAAAGGTCTGTCCCAGGCCTGTCTCCTTGCGGCAACATATCTTTGCAGGATGAGAAGACACTCACAAGGACACGTCATGTTGGACGAGGGCCTGCCCCGGTGACGTCATCTTAGCCTGACTGCCTCCATAAAAGAGCCCATCTCCAAATAAGGCTGCCTTCTGAGGGCTGGGAGCTGGAACGCCACTCTGTCCTTTTTGGGGGCAAAAAATTAAACTCACAGCCGTTAAGTGGCAGAACCCAGGCTTTTGTCCTTTGGCAGGAGAAAGGCTGCAAAAGTTGAGAGCTCATGTGCCCCAGCGAGGCTGTCAGCAACCTAGTGAGACCCGCCTCAAAATAAAAAATAAAAAGGGCTGGGGATGTGGCTCAGTGGTCTAGTGCCCTTGGGTTCAATCCCTGGTACTGAAAAAAGAAAAAAAGAAAGAAAGAGAAAACAACAAATAGCACTTTAGTGTCACCTCCTGGAAGTGCACCCCAGGAAGATCCCCTCCCCACCCCAAGAGGGCCACAGTCTAGATGGGTCCCAGACTTCCTTGGGGGGACCTAGTGCGTCAGTGACAGCCTCCATGGGGTCCAGTTCCTGGAAGAACCGCCCATCCCCCTGCCTGGCAAATTTGTGGGGAGGTGATTCTTCAAAGAAAGGCACTGCCCACCCCCTTGTGGCAGCAGAGGGAAGTGCAGCTTTCGCCCTCGCCCAAGCACATGCCCCGCCGACACTGGAGGGTCTAAGTCTTTGGGGAACTGCTTTCCAAAGACTTTCTTTTTTCTCAACATTGAGTATTGAACCTAGGGCATGAGCCCAGTAGGCAAGTGCTCTACTGCTGAGATAAATCCCCATTATTCTCTTCGATAGAGAAATTGAGTTTATAAATCAAAATTCCTATGAATAATTAATGTAAACTGCATTCACCCACAGTCAGCAGGACAGGCAAAAACCTCTGCTCTCACAGGGTGTGGTTGCTTGCAAGAAAGCTGGTCAGCACTGAGCAGATGATTGCTAATGGAGAGGCTGATGGGTAGAGGGGGCACGTGGTGGGACAGGCGAGCTGCAGGAGCTGGCTTCTGCGGAGGGAGGTGGCATTGAGGGTGGGTGAGCGGGAAGACACCCCTACAGAGCTCCCCCTGCTGAGCCCTGAGGCGAGCAGAGCAGAGACATAGCAGCCAGGGGTGGAGCACAGGCACAGACGGGTGAGCAGGAAGGGGGGACGAGATGGATCAGGAGGCAGAAGTGGGGGGCAGACGGCTGGAGCCTTGGGGGACAGACCAAGGGTTTGGGGTTTATCTGAAGGAGGAGGAAGCACCTGGGCGTCCTGGAAGAATGTTTCTGGCGAGGGGTGGAGGGCAGGGGGGCCTGAGGCACCTTGGACTCCGCAGAGGTGGGGAGGAGAGGTCAGGGGTAGAACCCATGGGCTCTGCTCAGTGTTGCTCTTTGTGGGGGGGGGGTGAGGAAGAGGAAGGAGTTGAGAATGGAAAATGAGAAGTCTTTGCAGGAAGGAGCAGAGTTTAGTGTTGAGTCCGTGGTGACTGAGGAGCATCTGCTGAAGCAGTTGGGGGACACTGACGGAGCCATCCCTATGTTCAGTGAATATTTATTAAAGAGAGTCTTTATGAGGTGGTGATTGAAAGCACAGACCAAGCCGGGTGCAGTGAGTGGCCCGTGCCTGTAATCCCAGCAACTGGGGCGGCTAAGGCAGAGGGATTTCGAGTTCGAGTCTAGCCTCAGCAACTTATGTGAGACTCTAGTAGCTAAGTGAGAGCCTGTCTCAAAATAAAAAAGGAGAAGGGCTGGGGATGTGGCTTAGTGGTAAAGTGCCCCTGGGTTCAACCCCTGGTACAAAAAAAAAAAAGAGGCCCAGACGAGGTTCCGAGTCTTGGCGATTGTGCCAAGAAAGTGTGCTCCAGGAGGCAGAGACCCTGTCTGTCCACTCCCAGGCTCTGCTTCTCTTTGTCACCTGCCTCACCTGTAAGGTGGAGCGGGGATGTGGCGCTTCCCTCTTTGGCTGTCTCTGAGCCAGGGAGGGGTTCACGCAGTTCATGTCAGACTAGAATAGTGCCTGCCCCAGGGAGGACTCAGCTGAGCGGGGCATACCTGGCCGGCCCTGATTCCTAGGTCACAGGTCCCACCCTCCTGGCTGACACTCCAGCAGGAGAGTACCTAAGTAAGGGACAGTGACACGCGTTTCCGAGGGACAACCGCTATGAAGACAGTAGCGCAGGGTACGGCCAGGAGGGACTGACTGGCTTAGGCAGGAGTGAGGGAAGGAGCCAGGGTCCTGGGGGGTGCGAAGGGAGAATGAATGAAAGGGGCCTGGGAGGGAGGGCAGGCAGGGCTCTGGGGCGCAGTCGGTGCACGAATTCCCGTGGTGGTTCCAGATACAGTGAGAAACCCCCCCCCAAGGGCGGGGAGCAGGAGTAACGTGATCTCATTTGTCAAAGATCACTGACTGCCTGGGAGAGAGGGTGGACACCAAGACTGGAGCAAGTCTGGAATGGCCTCCACCTGGGACTCACCTGTGCGCAGAGCTGGGCTGGAACCAGGAACCCAAGGTCACCTGAGATTTTTCAAATTCCGTTTTACAGTCATGCTTCTCAGACAAGCTTGCAACAAACACCAAGCACCAAAGATAACCCCCAGCACTTGTTGTGAGTCTGCACTGTGCTGCCCAGGACCTGTACCTGCTCAGCCTTTGTCTTATCCTCTGTAATAAGGGGATGGTAAGATCTGTCCTCCTCTTGGCTCAGTAACCAGGGGTGTTGAGATTAGATAAACCCCAGGGGAGAGAAGGCCCAGCCTCTAACCTGGTGCTGCCTCTCCAGTGATCCGTCTGAACAACTCCAAGCTGCAGGGGTTTAAAGAGGTCCCTTAGTCGGGTCTCCAGAAACTTGGCAGAAACAAAGTATCTTGGGAGGACTTCGCATTTTAGGACTCAGAGAATTCCCACAGATATTCTTCTTCTCCTTCTCCTTCTTCTTGGTACTAGGGATCTAACCTTTATCGCTGAGCTACGTCCCCAATTTAAAAAATAAAAATTTAAAATATTGAGACAGGGTCTTACTAAGTTGAGGTGGCTAGTCTCGAACTTGAGATCCTCCTGCCTCAACCTCCGGTCCCTGGGAGGACAGGTGTGCACGACTGTGCCCAGCCCCACAGATAACCTTCTAAGGAACCTGAGTTCAGTGTCAAAAATCAGAAAATGAAAGGGAAGCGAGGCATGAGCGACAAGAGCCAGCGGCCACGACAGTGGGATGAAGCCCACGAACCCTGAAGGTCTCGGAGGTGTCGCACCAAGGCTAGAGTACGTCGAGTGTCGGGGACAGACACTGTGGTTACACTGGTAAACAGCAAGGAGCTAAACGCACAGAATTCAAGTCGCGGGCCCTGCCTGAAGGGAAAGGAAAGGAAACTAGCCGAGAGGCAGTGAAGGCTTCTCGGTCTCGCTACTGTCCTGACCGCAAGCTCCCGCGGGCCACCCAGGCCGACTCCACAGGTGCTGGCCGTGTTGTGGTTCTCTGTATTTCCGGCACATATTTTCTCATAGATGCTGTTTTGCTGTCTACTGTTTCATAAAACCAATAAAAATGTCGCTCGGGCTGGTTCGCTCCGGTGTTGGAGCGGGTCTGCCCTCTTCCCCGTCTGGGGCTGCTCATGTGGGGTAAATACTTGAACTGTCTTCCCCCACCTTCCAGATCTGGGGAGAGGATGCCTGTCCCCCTATAGTTCCACGTGTTTCCAGTGAGTTCAGGCAGCGGGAATCGTCCGACCTGCCTCCGTCCCCACCACTGGATTCCCAGAGCACTTCACATTATTCATTTCGCAACTGCCAGTTTCCTTGCGTCTCTGGCCCACGGCCGTGGGGCCTCAAGGCCAGGCTGATCTCTTGATCACGGCTCCATCCCTGGTGCCCAGCCCTCGGGAGGACTGTGCAGTACTGGTTTGGGATGGACCCCAGACCCGCTGCCCGCCCTTCCTGATCATTAAGGGGCTCCTATCTCCTGACTTTGACCACACGCCAGGCCTCTGACCACACAGGGTGGGCCACCGCTCTGCTGCTGTAACCAAAATGCCTGACACACGCCACCTGGAGGGGGGAAGATTTGTTTGGGTCACGGTTTCAGAGGTTTGAGTCAATGATTCACTGGCTTCGAGGCAGGAGCCCCATGGAGGAAGGGTGTGGTGGAGGAAAGCTCACGAGGACTGGGGAGGAGAGGCAGGCCAGGGCCAAGATGCAGTCCCACAGGCCTGGCCCCCGTGACTGCATCCTCCACCCAGGTCACTCCGGTTACCACCAGTTGTCCTCTCAGGTCAGTGACCCAGGGGGTGGTCAGACCACTGAGGAGATCCAACCACTTCCCCAAAGCCCTGCCTCTGGACCTGGGGCCATGGGACCCAGGCCTTCCACCAGGACACTCCTGATCCAAACCTTGACCCTGGGGTCTCCTCTGTCGACCAAGTCACTCATTACCTGGGATGTGCGCAGGATCAGCAGGAGGAGTGGTTCTGAGAACAAACAGGAGGAAGAACCCACAGGGGCAGAAAAGCTTCCCGTGCTCCTCACGGTCCCTCCAGCTCGGCCATCCCTGGCCATCCCCTGGTCACTGATTCAGCCTGGCCTCCCCAGCCCCCTCCCCTCATGACACCCATCTCCTTGTTCCTGTCGACTGTCCCTGTGCTGCCAGGTCCTGCATCATCTGCCACCACCCTGTCCCCACCCCTGTTTCATTCCTGCTCCATGGCTCTTTCCCCAGCCACACAAAGCCATTTCCACAAAATCCCCTGAGTCCTGGCTCGCACTCTCTCCACTCCTCCACCGACCAGGAGACTCCCCGCCCCTCCCGAAGGCCCCGTCTGTTTCCCCACTGGAGCACCCGACCCAGTGCCTTCGGTCCCTTCCCTGTGGGAAGTGTCATTGTGTTTACTGTCTCTTCCCAGGACACAGAGCTCCTGGAGGGCAGAGCCTGTCTGGGGCAGCATGTGGGTGCCCCTAGGTACTCAAACCTGCAGACTTGCTCTAAGGTCCAAGACAGGAAAATGCCAGTCACCGAGGGGGTCTGATTTGAGAGTCTGGGGGTTGAGAGTCATTTGGACTCAGTTCCTGTGACTTAATCCTGTTTTGGGGGAGACCACAGACCAGGTGAGAAAACAGGCACAGAAACCTCATGGCTGGTGGTCTGCTGAGCAAGGCTGCAGGGTCGGCCTCTTGGCAGGAGCCAGAAGCCAGGCTCTGGGCCGGTGGAGCAGTGGGGGTCAGGACTGCACCCAGGGGCACCTGTTTGCCCTCAGTGCATTAGAGAGGCTCCAGGCTGTTACCAGGAAGGGAAGCCAGGAGCGGGGCTGGCCCCGAAAATACAGCTGGGAGAGAGGCTGCGGGACGTGTTTTCAGCTGAGAACACAGGGCAGTGGTCTCTATGATAATTTTTTTTTAATATTTATTTTTTAGGTGTAGATGGATACAACACAATGCCTTTATTTTATTTTATTTTTTATGTGGTGCTGAGTCCCGAACCCGGGTCCTGCCCGTGCTAGGCGAGTGCTCTACCACTGAGCCACAATCCCAGCCCAAGGGGCAGTGGTCTCCATAAGGGGCTGAATGGCCTCCTTATGTTCAGAGGTTGAAGACAGTACTCCAAATGTGACAACAGGTCCTTATTGAGCCATAGGGACTTTACAGAGGAAATCAGGTTGAAATTTGGACATTGGGTGGGCCCTAGTTTAGTACGACCAATGTCCTTGCAAAAAGAGGGAATTTGGAGACTGACAGGTGTCCAAGGAGAGCAGCGGGTGAAGATGAAGGGGGAGTCAGCGATGCTCCTGCAAAGCAAGGAACGTCAGGGATCGCCCTGAATGTCCAGATGCTGGGGGAAGGACATGGGACAGTCCTGCCGACGCCTTGATTGGACTTCTGACTATCAGAACTGAGAGGAATAAATTTCTGTTCTTTAAACCACACAGTATGTGGTATTATTATTATTATTATTATTATTATTATTATTATTATTTTTAATAGCAGCCGTAGGAAACCAATACAGTTACTGTCTGGCTATGAGTGATGGAGAATCTGACTGTGCTCCTCACTACTCGTATTCTGGGTACCTGGCTGGAGGTATGATATCCCCTGAGCCATGTTCTTTTTTATGGCAGAAAAAGGAGGTCAAGCGAAACCTTTTAAGCACAAATATAGCTCACGAATATCCTAGTTCTCTGCAGTGCAGAGTGTTATGTCCTGCTGATGTATGTGACACATCTCAACCTGTGCGTTTTGGAGGCCAAAGCCCATGGCCAAGCCTGTGACCTCTTTGGGGTGAGGCAGGACGGCCCAAGGAACAAGAATGTGCTGCACCGGGGGCCGTTGGCCCAGGGATTGAAAACGTGACGAGGCCGTTCTAAAGGAACACAGAGTATGCGGTAAGTCATGAATTACTTCCTTGCCTTCTGTTTCACAAATAGAGTGTGAATTTAAAGTAATGTGTAAGTGGCTGCATTTGAAGGAACATGGGGGATCTGAGGGGTGAGGGGAGGACCCTGCGTTCAGAGCCTCAGCAGACTGGCGAGACCCGGCTGCTCCGTGGGGGACACTTGTTTGGAAGTGCTGTATTCCCGAGGCTTCTCCACAGGGCTCTGCTGGATACTGTGGGAGACGGAGGCTGCGTCAGGGAGACCAGCCGGGTGGTGGGTGCTGG